GGCTTCCATCCCTCCCTTAGCAGGCAGCTTTCTCCTTACTTCTTTCAAACTCTGGGCAGCCATGACCCTCCCAGGGTCACCTGGGGAAACTCACCTGGTCACAGACCTCTGAAGTGAAGACATCTGTTTAAAATTCTGTCCCTCTCCTCACTAATCTTTCTAGTCCTTGATTTTGCTCATGCACTACAGACTCGATCCTTCCAACCAGCATCAACTGGCATTTTCTCATTGACTTCAGCTAAGTGAGACCAGGACACAGACAGGGCTCTGCTTTAGAAACTGCTGTACACTGGTAATTGCAGAATTTTATTCAAAGACATTTTTTATCTGTGTTGATGAAATTAAAATAGGATAGGAAAGAGAGGGAGAAAAAAAGCTCAGGCAGAAAGGCTGGCATTTTATTATTCTTCAGCTTGCTCCTGTAGTAGATTGACCTCCCTCAGATAAATCCGTACACCATGGAAACTATTTTCTCACCGAGGAAAAATTTCCAAGTTCAGCTGAAGGCCTATACATCATGTTAAGCATATAGCTAAACTGTGCAAGCGCGTAATCTTACTGCCCTCTCCCCATCCTTCCCTCCTGCTGTTTGTCATACTTACTGTCATATCTCTTTTCAAAGTCGGGTAAGGGCGTTGGGGCAGGGCATGTGCCTTCCTCTGTGTTTGCAAAGCAGCAGCGTGTGGGAGTACAGGAAAGAAAGGGAAGGGAAACACGTTTCCAGATCTTTGGAGGATAAATTATAAAGCAATAATAACACGCTGTAAAATAAATGCTATCAACTGATATTTACACAGTCCTTTATCTAAAGTCTCTCTCTAATGCGCTCCGCGTAATTACAGTGCTGTTTGGCAAAACATAGGTGGACAGAATAATAATTCCTTTATTACTATGTGGTTTTACTGCATATTCACAGATAGCCTATACCCGGCAGGTCTAAAATAATAACAACTGGAGTTCATATCTGGATACCTTTGTTAAGCACTGGGATCCTCTGTGAAAAGCAGAAATTTCTGTGGACAGACAATTTCCCAACATGGTGCGGAGCAATGGGCCACCTCAGGTGCATGGCAGCTGACACTGAACGCCAGCCTCGTGGAGCTGGTGGAGTGTAAGGCAAAATGGGAATTGTGAAGGCAAAACCTAGTCTGTAGGGTTTCCTTTTTCAACATTTTATATACGAGAAATAAATGAATGGGATTTAAGGTGTTATTTGTTTGCTTGTTTTACACAAACAACACAAATATTCAGGAACAAGGGGTAGAAACTGATGAAAGTCTACAGAAAGCAGTGGGATATGGCCCGCTGAGATGGCTACAGAGACAGAAACACCAACAAGAAGTTCACTGGGAGTCAGAGCATAAAGAAAAAGAAGAGATTCAAAGAGTCATAGAATATCCTGAGTTGTAATGTAGCCGTAAGGATCATCGACTCCAACGCCTGCTTACAGCAATCAAGTTATTTATAAGTGAATGCGATAGAAAGGAAAAAAGGACACTCTAGAATCCAACTGGACATGTGTAATTTGGTTTTCTCACAACATCCCATGGATTGCAACACCCTCTGTGCAGGCTTTTCCCAAGCATCTTATCTAAATGCTGCAGCTTTATAATGAACTCTCCTTGGCTGTGAGGAATCAAATTGTCACGGAGCTGGCTAGGATTTGGGTAGCAGTGGTTAGAGCCCTGAGGCAACAGAGAGAACTGTCTCAGCTTAAGAGAAGGTGAATGTGTTCTCCCCTCCCAGCGGAGGAACTTATGCTCACTAACACATGTATTGGCTCTTTAAGAACTACAAATACACAAAAAACTTAATCCATGACTTCTGCAGACAACACGCTAGAGCCACTACAATTAAATGTATAGGATATCTTCTAAGCACAACTTCATTCACAGCAGATTTCGTTGCCCTTCTGTCAGTCAGTTGCCACTGATATTGGTGTGCTTTTCAAGGCAATAGAAAGTTGCCTTGAAAGTCAGAAATGGCCATCTTATCTGCTGTTGTTTTCTTTTTTTTCCCCCCTTTTTTTCTGAAAAATCACTGCTCTAAAGGGTAATTTGTTTTTAACAAAGACTTTTATGTGGATGCAAGCTTATTAGCTGACATGAGGAAAAAAGAAGGAAATGAAAGGTGATGCAATGCAAAGAGGTAAAGAAGCAGTGCTATGCAGGCAGTCTGTTCCTCTCCCACTTACTTCTTACATGCAGGATTTGTATGCCCATACCCTTAGATCCCATCACTCTGGTGATGGAGGCAACAGAAGCATGTTAGGTGAAGCATGGGGGACAGCCTTTTTTTTGCCTCAGAACAGACAGAAGTTCCAGACACGGTATGCAACTTTCCCATTAGATTTCTGTTGAAATCATGTTGACCAGCGATGAAATAGAAGTTTATAAACCTTATTGGTGGTGCCAGTATGGATGACAAAAACAGGGTTTATCCAGTTTGACTCATGATGCTGCATTTGGAGCACATAAGTTCTGAGCTCCAGCTCTCTCCTGTCCTTACATGTACTCAATTGTCCTTAACTTGTGAACTGCAGTGTTTTCTTCATTAGCATGTTCGTAAGTATGTTTGTTAAATTCATGCCACACGGTAATTAATCTGAAAGTGATGTAATTTGTACAGAACTGGCAAGCTCACAATGTTCACAATACATACAGCATAGCCATGTTATGTCTGGGACAGCTATGTCCCCGTTTGGATATTAATGCAGGGTGACCACTGCCAACCTTACGGCAATTGGTTCTTTCCAAGAAATCATTCTGATGTCATGGAGCATGATACTAAGCAATGAAATGGCTGTGTGCTTTAAGAAAAGAGAAAATACAAACTGTATTTTGCTGCACAGCAACATTTATTTCTATAACATATTTAACCATGAGTACAGAAGTACAGGTAAGGCTAGGCTCACAATTTCCAAACAGAGCAGTGACAATGATTTCTGGGATGTGGTAGGGTAAGTGTTATACTCCCTAATGTACGTATCACAAATCACAGATCACAGAATGGCCCAGGTTGGAAGGGACCTCAAGGGTCATGAATCTCCAAACCCCCTACCACATGCAGGACCAACAACCTCCCCATTTAATGCTATCCAGGCTGCCCAGGGCTCCATCCAGTCTGGCCTTGAACAACTCCAGGGATGGGGCATCCACAGCCTCTTTGTCAGCCTATTCCAGCACCTCACCACTCTCATAGTAAAGAACTTCCCCCTGACATTCAACCTAAATCTTCCCTCCTTCAACTTGAAACCATTTCTCCTTATCATAAGCACTGTGCAGTTTTTTTTTTAATTATCATTTTTTCTTTTTTAGATGATTTGTGTGCCAGATTTTATCCCGGGCAACGTACACCAAGTATATATATTTACATATTGAAGCAAACTTTCTATCATCATAAGACAAAGAGCAGGAAGCTCTTTGAAAGTTCCAGGATGAGCCAGGATGATCAGCCACACAAATGCCCTTTACCAATAAGAAGTCTGTTGTTGTTTGTGGCAAGGACCAACGAAGAGCAGCAACGCAGCACCAGCTTCTGTGTTGCTGGACAGCAGGTACGTGCTCCCCATGGGCCCGGCTGTCACAGCCCCCAGCCCAGCTCACAGCCAGCTGCCCGCTGCCCCAGGGCCCGGGTCCTCTGCAGCGACTGCGGCGCACTGAGGGCACTTCCCAGATCCACTCCTTTCGTTTTGAATGTCGAAGTGTGCGTCGATACCTGACAACGCGGCTGTATGTAAATACCGATAGCTGATGCTTGCTTTAGAAAAGTGCTTTGAGGAAAGAGGAAGACCGAGCTGTAAAATCACGGGAAGGAAATAATACTCAGCAGTGTACTTTTAGCAGCATACTTTTAATCCTCCCCGCCAAATAGTGATGTTAACCAAATACGTAAGAAATTTTGATTTTCTTCAGAATTGAGAGTTTAGGCTGCAGCCTGTTGTAATCGGAGGGCGAGCAAACTTCACGGCTCTGACGGCGGACTGATGAACGGGGTTCACGCTGCGGGGGAGAGGCCTCACCGCCCCCGGGCAGCTGTGCAGCCCTGTGCCAGTCCTGAGCGCTGCTCGGGCCCTCGGGAGGCTCCCACTGCAGCCCCGCAGCGAGCAGGGAAAGAAGGGCTGATGCTTGAAATGGTCACAGAGAAAGGAAGGATGTGAGAGGGACTCTCGAGAAACAAATATGGGGTACATACATCCTAAGGAGATAGCCTGGGTTGTTTTATTTTATATATATATATATATATATATATATATAATTGGTTTTTTTTTCTTTTGGGGGGGGGGGGGATTTATTTTCTTGAATGCCTTCGTGTCGATTTTTAGGAACCCCGCACACATAGCGGGGCAGACAGCTGTACTCTACAGACCGCTCCCTCTGCACGTACAGGTTCGGACACAAGTCAGGGTCAGCTGCGAGATGCCATTGCGCAGAACATTAATGTGCGCGTTATCACTTCAAGCGCAGACTGACAGAAAGCGCTGCTGCGCACCGAGCCCAGGTGCGTGCAGGCACACGCGCTCCCACTCAGCGGTGACGCCGGGAGCAGCCGGGGCAGCCCCGCGCCCGGACGGAGCTGCAGCAGCGCGGTGCCGCGCTCAGCACCCCGCGGCCGCATCCACGCCGCGCTCTCCCATCGCTCGCCGCAGCAGCGGGTATCACGGAGCCGCGGCGCGGGGCAGCATCCCTCGGCGTGCGAGCCCGCGGGTCGCGTGCCGCTCCCGGAGCGCCCGCCATGCGGCTCGTGAGGGGCGGCCGTCCCGCGTCCCGCATCCCGCACCGGCAGCGCGCGGCCGGGCGCCGCCGCGGGCCCGCGTCGGAGGGCTCCGCGCTCCGGCTCGGCTCCCCTCGAGCCCCGCCGCCGGCCCGGCCCTCCGCATCCCTCCTCCTCCCTCCCTGCCGCCGGCCGCGGCCCCGCCGCCTCCCCCACCCTCACCTCAGCCGCCCCCCTCTGTCTGGCTCCCCCCTCGCTGTCTGGCGGCCCCCCCCCCCCGTCCCCGCCGCGCTTCTCGCGAGAGCTGGGGATGCCGCCGCCGCCGCCGCCGCCGCCGCGGAGGGGGAGACACTCGGGGGGAGCCGGTGACGTCGGGAGTTTTCCTGAAAGTCAATAACGAGCCCGGCGGAGGCGGCGGGAGGAGCCGAGAGCGGGGCCCGGGCGGCTCCGGGGTGAGTGCGCCGGGGGGAGCCGCCGCCGCCGCCGCCCTCCTGACCCCCGCCCCGATGCCGCGGCCGCGCTGCCCGCCCGGGCGCCTCCCAGCCTAGCGGCCGCCGCTCCATGTAGCCGCCGCGCCCGCGGCCGGAGCCGCCTCCTCCCGCCCCCGGGGGACACCGGGCCGCAGGGAGCGCCGCGCCCGGCGGGGGTCGGGGACGGCGACGGGGAGGAGGCAGCGGCGCCCTCCCCACCCCCCTTCCCCCGGAGCCGCCGCCGCCCTCCGGCTCCGCAGCAGCGCCCGCGGCGTCGCCGCCTCTGCAGGTACGGGCGGGAGGGGCCGGGCGGCGGCGGCGGGCGGGGAGGAGGCGGCGGGCGGGGAGGGGGCGCGGGGCGCGGCCGGGGCCGCCGGGCAGCGCGGGGGGAGGAGGGGGGGCGGCGGCGGCGGCGGCGGGCGGGGGTCGCCCGTCGGGCGGCGCGGGGCGGGGTGGGGGCGGGGGGCGGTTATGTAACGGGGGGCGGAGGGGGGTGGGGGGAGACGGGGTAGGGCACGGCGCGCGCCCGGGGGCGCCGCCTGCGCGTGGCCGCGGCCGTTCCCACGCGGCCGCCCCTCCTCGCCCGCGCCGGGAGCGCGCCCCCGCCCCCCTCTTTTCCCCGTCGCCGCTCCCCGTCCCCGCGGGTGAGCGCGGGCCGCGTCCGCCGGGAGCCTCGAGCGGCCGCGCCGAGAGCGGCGGCGTGGGAGGGGGTCCGCGCGTGGCCGCGCCGGCGGCGGCTCCGGCTGCAAGTAAACAAACCGGCCTCCGCCTCCTGCACGGCCATCATGGAGGGAGGCTGCGGCGCGCGGGCAGCAGCTGATGCGCGGCCGGACCGCGCCTCCCGGCCGCGCGCGGGGCTGAGTGCGCGGGGCGCGGAGCTGGGCGCGGAGCTGGGCCTGGGCGGCCGGCCGGCGGCCCCCGGCCCTCCTCGGGGTGGGGGGGAGCGTGGGGAGCGTAGGGCGGCCCCGTCACGACCCTCGCCCTGGGATGGGTAGTGGGGCGGTGCGAGAGCCCCGAACTCTCGTTGCTGCGCAGCTGAAAGGGAGTAGTGACCGATTGCATCCCTCTTGACCTTAATTCTGGTGTTATTCTGTAATTATTGGTTGACCGCTGCTTGTATACGGCGACACGATCCCATCTTTGTTGTTATGACGATGTGCCTCAGGCCTGACTCACTGAGCTCCTGCCGAAGGAGCGTTATGCTCGGGGCTGGGATGTGCCAGGTACCCGCGTCGCCAGCTCTCAGCGCGGAAGGAACTTGCAGCCGTCCCTTCTGCCACAGCTGCCTGCTTGCTGCTCACCAAAACTTTGTAAACGGGCAGACACGTGTCCCCTCGTTTTGCATACAGAAGCACTTATTTCCCAGGGCAGGAGGCACCCAGATGAGCTGGCTGAGCCTCAGACAGGTGTCTGTGTGCTTCTGCAGGCTGCTGCATAGCAGTATGGATAGAATGAGATAGGGAGGAAAGCTTACCTGATGTTTTAAACAAGTGTGCTACTGAAGCAGAGCCCGTTCATTGGACTTTTTTTTTTTTTTCCATAGGAGTCATCTTTAGGTTGACCCCAATATCTTTAATTGGATTGGATTGCTAATTATAGCCCATGTGTTTATATTTTGGTTGGCCACTAAGTCAAGTTCAAAGGAGATATGAGGTAAACTGCAGAGTGGGGGAGAACTCTCTGTTTCCTAGAAAGCTCTGTCCCATACCTACCAGCTCCCATTTTCCAGTGGCAGTGCTGGGGCAGGTGTGTGAGCATGGGGTGCACATAGTAGGAGTGCCCCACTTGGGCAGTGCCCTCCTGTTCTATCATTGCTCACACAGACCATCAGCTTTGTAGAATCCGATGTTTCAGTGCCTCACTCCTTGTTTGTTTGTAGTTTGAAGGAAGATGATACGTTGTTAAATAAAATACTGGTGTTCCACGGGATGCCACTGAGAAATCTGAGAGATACATGAGCTTCAGCTTGTGTAGTGTCAAGGCTGAAGGTACAGTAACTTGTATTAGAAAATGGTGTTGGTATTTTGATGCTGAAACAAATGCTTTGGGGAAAGAATAGCGGTGAAGTTTTCTCTTTAGCCTAATCCCAAACAAGTGGAGCTCTGCTTCTGTGTGTGAAGTGTTACCAGGCTGAAGCTCCACTTTGGCACAGTGTGTGCCTGAGGTTCCTACATGAACTTGGGGACCTGCAGGTGGATTGGGAATGTCTGCCACTAGGTTCTCTCTCATGTTCTCTGTGCATTTTCCCTGCAAGAGGCATATCAAATAGTCATTTCTTTACCCCAGAAATTTATTAATTAAGCTAAAGAGCTGAAAAGTAAGTTTGAAATACTCAGTTGTTTCCAATGATATGGCACCATTACTATAATGAATTGTGTTAAAACACATTCAAAATTTCTGTGCCATTATTGGTGTAAAGAATGCAGAGTTTCTATTTGCAGCACTAGATTGTCACTTCATGTGGTGCTGTTGCTGATGCAGAGAGGTGGGCCTGCATGTGGCAGCCTGCCTTTGCTTCAGCTGTGTGGTATGGCCCTGATGTCCCCTTGCACCTCTGGCTTCGTCTTGCTGCTGTCTGTACCCCACACCGAGGAGGGTGGTGGGTGAACACTGAACTATGCTGAGCAAACACTTTGTTATGCTGAATTTCCATCTCAGTTTGCTCAGTGTGAAGCTGCTTCAGCAGCAGCGTGCCAGGCTGTACCTGCATGTCTGTGGGGTGTTGGTTGTCCCATGTGAGCTGGTGTCATGTGCCTGAAGCCCGTCTAAGAAAATGAACGTGTGCGCTGCTCCCTTTGGCAGGAACAGTAAAGACTCAAAAAGAATGGCATAATTAAAGGTGTGCATTTGTGAGTTTTATTTGACAGTATTTATATGAAGTTTACCAACCTCTTATTGGTTCAAGTACTGTTTTTAGAATAAAAGATAGCAGATTTAAGCGCTCATTAAAATTACTCTAGAATATTAGGTTAATCTGTGCCGCCTCCGATTGTCTCTCTGTGGGGACGTACCCAGTGAGAGCTTCACGGTAGACGTGGGGTTGCTCCCAGTAGAGCTGCACCTCTGGGAGCACAGCACTGCTTATGGTGCTCAGTGTGTTGTGTGAGTGTGCCTGGTACCACAGGCTGTCCTTGGTAAAGCTGTGGCACCAGTTGGTCTCTGTGCAACAGGTGGGCTTGGTGGAGAAAAGACTACTTCCGTAAGAAAAATTACATGGTAAATGGAAGACCTGGTTCAAAGCATTTAAAAAATCTGCTGAACCAGAGGAATGAATAAAACTGAGAGGCAAATGATAAAAGACTGAATGGGAAAGTGCACATTTTAGTGTTTTGCACAGTGTAAAATCATCCTTAAAATTTTGGTTTGTTGTTTTCTCCTGAACTGGTTGTATGAAGAAGATTCAGGGCTGTCTGTGTGAAGAGAAAAATTGCAAACAAAACAAAAATTGGAAGGTGCAGCATTAGACTGTTTGGCATTTTGTTCGTGTTCTGTAGCTCTAGATCAGCTTGAGGTATGGCAGCAGAAGTAGAGTAGCGCTGGGGCATGTGATGGATTTGGAACTGGTCTTTTTCATCATAAAATGTTATTGTCAGGGAGAGTAAGCATTTTTATCCTGTGCATATGAAGACTATTACTTTTGATCACTTAAAATGTTTCTTAGATTTTTCATATTAGTGACACTTAAATAACTTTGTACATCTTCAGTTCATCTTGGCCAATTCTCCTGCATATGTTTATGCAGGTGCCTAGGGGCGAGTCCTATTGATTGAAAATGGTGTTAAGAACAAGCTGTCACCTGTGAATTTTTCTGAGATACCTTGACTAAGAGCAGTGGTTATTTTCCAGTTCCTTTAAGAATGCAGCTAGGACCTCAGTATCTTCTGTGCATGGCTGAATGACAGCACTGTTTGTCAGACCTTGTTGTGCTGAGTGTGTGGTAAGGGAATTTGAATGCATCTTGCAGCAGAGGCAGGGATGAACAGCCTGATTCAGCTTTGCTGAGCTCAGTGAAGATCTTGCCTCTGGATTTTTGTAGCTGTGGAATGGCAGTGCCCAGCAGTCAGAAACCTCTCATACAGCTGGCTTAACACTACAAAGTGCAGAATTTCTCATCTGAATCGCAGCCATCTTTCAAAGCAGTTTCTACAAACAAAACCAGTTTTTGTTTTTCCCAGAGTGTTCAGTGTGCTTCTTGGGATAGATGATCACTGCAAGTTGCCTAATGCATTTTTCTTGAAGTTGTTGTACCTTTTCCTGTATGTATTGGTATAATTGGAGGCAGAGAATTAAAGTTGAACGTGTGAGTTTCACTCAGTCGATCTCTTCATATATCGTAGGAGATGACCTTCATCTGGTAAAGACAGCTTCTATCCCTAAGTGTGCTCAAGGAGCAATATGCTTATGAAAAACACATTCTTCATTTAAGGTTGTAGAGAATTCCTTCTGTAGTTGAGAAATTCAGTGCTCGCGCTGGGGAGAATAGTGCTGTTTGAAGACAAACAAGCAGATCCCAAAGTTTTAGGTTGGAAGTTGGAGCATGATTAAGTTCTGGTCTGGGGCAGAATTAAACAGTTAATAAGTTCAGCAGCTTTGATGGATCTCTGGGAAAGAATCACAAAGTTCAGCCCTGTTCATGCAAACGAATTCACTATTCAATTTGTACAATATCCACATAATAAATAAATCCTATTTCAAGAGTTTGAAAAAAAAATGTCTCTTGCTAGACATATCTCTGAACTTTTTCCATCTTGAATATTAATAGTTTGAGAGCATATTTTTATTTCAGTGCTTTCCTTTCCTCGTTGCCCACAGCACTTCACATGTTTCTGGCTTTTGTTATCTTCAGTGGTGGTGGCTTCAGCAGTGTGCTTGGAGCTGTGCACACACTGGGATGTTGGACTCCAGGAAATATTTAAACCTGGGAGTTCAATAAAGCTATTTTCTATCTCTTAAAGACACCTTTTAAAATAATTCAGAATGAT